AAGCCGCAGGCTAGTCGGACCCGTAGACTTGTGCTGACAAAATGAGTTACTTCTCGGATTCGAGCCCTATGGAAATCGCTACATCACGCTTATAGGTGAAGTTTTAACCATTCAATAAGTGTGAAATAAAATAAGGCATGTTACACTTAAAGAATATGACAGCAATGCAAAATCTACAAATGTGACCCTTGTGTCGATTTTTTGGCTAATATCTCCATTTGTGGATTGTGAGAAGTAACTCGTTTTGTCTCACAAACTGGACCCATAGACTTGTGTTAGAATATTATCCAAGACTTTGCTTGCTGACGTATTCCGGGTCCCCCTTGTAAAACCAAATTAAGGGCAACGAGGAAAAGGCTGCGCTCGCGCTCGACGAAAGCACAACTGGTGTTTTGTCCTTCATTGATTTTGTGCATCCATGGTGTGCACCATTGCAGGGAAGTTTTTGATAGAGAGCTGAGAGTAGCGGCCATAACGGTGTCCGGTCTAGGATATGATAATTCAAGTCTATGGGCCGCCATGACAGTGTCCGGTCTAGGATATTATAATTCAAGTCTATGTGCAGAGTCGAAAACGAAGCGTTGTTTTTTGTCTGAAAATGCAGTCATTCTGTTCTGGAAAGGAGCAAAGGAGCAAAGGAGCAAAGATGGCGTAGCGGTCAGAGGCTTTAGGAGGGACGCCCACTATACTTTTGTTTTCCTGTTCCAGACAATGCGTTTCCGGGACGCCTTCGCCCGGACGACAGGCACACAAAATGATGGCCGCCCATTTGCCGCTTGCCGAAGACAGTCAAAATCTCGAGTCTGTGGTTTGACGCTACACAGAGCTGGCCTAGATCTAGATAGGTCCAAAGCTAGGCCATGAAGCCTTCACGTCGAAATCATTGCCTCAATTGCGTTTAAAAACGGCTCAAATATATGGAATCTAATGTAAAACATTTATTTCTAGCAAATATTAAATAAAATTGGGACCAAAAAATGTGCCTACTGTTCAAAATTATCCTTTTTCTTGGGTGAATCGAGGACCGGCTGCAGATTCCACGCAAGGCAAAAGATCGTGCATGTAGGAAAATCGTGTTGCAAGATAAACTTTACGTGATGCTAGCAAAATATCTATAGCTAATTTGCATACAAAGCTTTGCCTGGAGTCTTCAAAAAATAACACGTGGGCGCGAGGTCTTATCGCCGCACGCAGAAGACCCGAGTTTGATTCCCGGGTTGGGAGTGGGAGAACTACCATCAGTCGGGCGTGCAGACCAGATGAATTACTTCTCGCAATCCACAAATAAAGATATTGGCAAAAAATCGCACATTAGGGTCAAATTTGTAGATTTTCTATTGATGTCATATTATACTTTTAGTATATAACCTGTCTTCAATTATTTCAAACTTATAAATTGTAAAAACTTCACCTATAAGCGAGCTGTATCTATTTGTGAGACGTGCTAAGAAAATGAGTTACTTCTCATATTGTAGCCCTGTAGAAATAAATGCGTTGAATTGGTAGGCTGAGTTTTTACAATTCATTAGTTGGAAATAATAAAACACATGGTAAACTTGAAGAAAATGACAATAGTTAAAAACCTACACTTTTACTCCGTCGTTGATTTTCTGCCAAAACCGGCATTTGTGAAGTGCGAGAAGTAACTCATTTTGTCAGCACGCTGAGTATTACGGTCTTTCTGCTGGGATGTTGTATATCTCTCCATCATGGGGTTGGCCCTGAAAGCCAAGGTCGAAAGCCCGTCTCCTAAATGACCTTAACTGCGTCGCTGTGAACGTAAAAACACATACTATCATTATTGCTTCTTTTTTCTTGTATTGATACTACCATTAACGCAAACGAAAAAAGAAAATCTTAAATAAACAAGGGGAAAGCAAAGTTGCCTGGAAACCATTAACCTCTTCCTGGAAACACAAGTACCGTGGTGTTGGTGTGTGGGTGGGGGTGGGGGGATGTGGGTGTGTGGAGGGAGTTGGGGGGGATGTACATGTAAGCGGCACCTTGACGCAGGAAAGCTTTTATAAGGTCTGTGCGGAGGTTTGGGAGTAAATACGCTCTACCTGGTAGCAAGGGCATGCACAAAATGCAGGAGTGGGGTGTGAGGTGGGGGGGGGGGGGGGAATTGGGAAGGGGAAGGGGAGGGGATGGGTTGTGGACTTTCACATCTCCTCTGTAAGACGAATTTAGGGGGTTCCATGGTGGGGTTAGGGGTAAGGATGGAGGTGCGGGTGGTGGGGTGAGTGGTGATTGGTTATGGAATTTATAACTCGTCTGTCAGACAAGGGGAGGGGAGGGTTGGGGTGGGGTGGTAGGATGGTTTGGGAGGATGGGGGTGGGGGGCTATGGTATTCAGAAATCGCAGGCAGGCTGTTTATCTGTTCTTAGACACGAAAGAAAAAGTATATCAGGGGAGAGAGGAAAGAAATAACAACTGTTATATTCTTGTATAACATTTATTATAACTACATGCGCTTTGTTTGTTTTCCTAGGTTGTTTTTTTCTTTCAAGTTCAAAATTTCGAATTTCGACAAAATATTTCTCAAGTTTATGCAAATGAAAACTGCAGATGAAGACACTGCAATTTCCTTTTATAGTAGAAAAATATTGGGCTAAGAACATCTAAACGCGTTGGCTGAGGAATACAGTTATTCTCTCTCTCTCTCTCTCTCTCTCTCTCTCTCTCTCTCTCTCTCTCTCTCTCTCTCTCT